ATTTCTTTTATACTAATAGCATAAATGGTGCGATTGTCCAGAACATGATCAGTCAATTGAATTCTTTGGTTCTCATTATAAGTGATACAGTGATCACCGACTAAATCCATGTTTAATTTAGTTTATATTAGCATTTAATCCTACAATTATGAGTATACTTTGTATTTGTTTAACAATATACATAATTGACGAAAAGTATAACACTAATATTATTGTTAATAAATAAATATTTTTCAACTTATATAAACTGTTGCTTTTCACTCAATATCAAAGTACTTATTTTTATTTTTGCAATCTGGTATGCAAATAAAAAATTGGTTTATAAATATTAATATATATTTAACTTACTTTTGTTTTCTAAAAAAGTTTCTACTATAGTTGAATAAATGAATGCAAAATGTTTACAAAGAAAATGTTTACAGATGTAAGAGTTATTGAAAATAATATTCTGTGAATATATATTAAATACAAACTAAAATATAGCAGTTTAACTTAAGTAAAGTTTGTAGTTACTGAATACTATATGTTAATTATTGTATATCGATGAAATTTTATTTTCTACAATCAATAATACTTTTTTGAAATAATTAGAATTTAGAATAAAAACTATTTTTTCTTATTGCAAATAAAAATGTTATGTTACAATATGTTTAGATATTGAATTTACTACTTTTGACTCTAATATAGCAATTAATATACAGTACAATAACTTCTACATAATATTTTATTGTTATTGTTATGCATTTGTATTACAAAAGTTATACATCTATAAGTTATATATAAATCTGTAAATAGTTTGTATGAATTACAAGATATTAAGTTGCTAAGCAATATGTCCAAGCTAACTTTGTAAAATTAATTCACCCAAAGAGGTATCATAGAACATTTTTTACAATATTCTATATTTACAATTCAATTAATTAAAAACACAATTAAATAATTAGTTTATATAAATTATAATATTCTGTAAGGTTCTTTAAGGTTTTACTGTATAAGTAAAATATTATAAATATTTCATAATAAATAATGTTACTGTTATTTGCTATTAGTTTGTTAATGAAAAATCAATATTTGTAGTAAATAGTACTTTTCTGTAATTAACATATTGTAATAAGAGTAATAATCATATTTAAGGAATAATAATTAAGCATTCTTGTATTATAGAGATATACCGTAATTCATTTTTATCTGATATAGTTTTAACACAATTATTTAAACATTAATAAATACACTGTTGTAACAAAATAGACTTAAATAATATAAGTTGCAGTATACTAGAAAATTTTGCATTTAAACCTAATTTGAGTACATTTGAATTGATTTTCATATATAGCTATAAAATATGCATACTCCTAGATTAGTACATAAGGCACGGAATACCTTAAAATGCATATTAATTGGGATTTAAATAAATAATATACTGGTAAATATGCATAAATTAGAATGACTGCCAATCAATACCAAATTCGTGCAACTGTTTGAATTGCTTATACAAATAGGTCTTTTTGTTTCCATATTTACTATAAAAAGTTACTTTCGCCTGATTTCTAAGTCCAGTCCTCTCATCAAAGACTTGGCATTTAGAATAAGGGGGCGAATAGAGATGCAATGACACGGCTTTCCAACTGTCACTTCGGTTCTCCACTCGATGTAAACCAATTGAATCTAAATAAATAATTAAAACCCGTTGAAATCATATTAATCATGGTACTTATAGTATAGGGATCTCAAGTAATAAACCATTAATATAGGCGACATCATTAGTCTTGAGTTGGTTTTCATCAATCGCTTTCATTTGGTTTAAATCAGTGGTAGAGTCGGGCCATTCATATCGGGTTTCGTGAAGGCTTCCCGAAAGCATCTGTTCAATCATTTTCAATGAATGAATGTATGAATTTTTATATGAATTTAAGTATGAATTTGTAATTTTAATAAATCATTGCATACTTTCATAAAGCAATGAGCGTCTGAGTGGTCGTGAATCACTGATCCCTGTCCTTCAGACCAACACAAAAGCATTAGATTGTATTTATCATTACCGTTGTCCACAAGATTTCTTGTATATCTAAAAGTTACTTCATTATAAATACATTATAAGTAATTGATTATAATATTATTCAGACCTGTACTCATCAAAGTAAGCAAACTTTTTCCAATCATTTGCGTTACTCCTATACGAGAGCAATACTTTTTGCACGTAATCCGCGTCAATGTATTCAGATTCAAAAATTTGTCTCAAAATTAAAATCAATTCATTTAAACTTTCAATAGGTTTCAGACTTGGTTGTTTCTTGTATAAATGCATTTTAAAAATACTGTATAGATAAGTATTTTTAAAATAAAATCTAAATTTTATATTTAAAATAAAATGGCTTTTTATTAATTATAGTTATAGTGAAATTCAATATTTTTAAAAATCTGCAAATAAATTAAAACTTTAACAATATTCTTTGTAAATTAACCCTTTTATATGATTATATTTGATATATTTTTTTATTAAAAACACTTTTTAAAGTAGGCGTGATCTAAATGACTTTAAGTTATAAATCATATGTTATTATCAGGAAAAAATATTTACTAAATTAAATAAATAAAATATTAAAACTAAATATCATATGTTTTAAGCAAACTATAATTATGACCTCACTTATCACTAAATACAGTAGCACATTTTAAATATACATATAATTGTACATGTTTTCAGTAATAAAAGTGTAAAAATAGATCGACTTTTAATTATAGCCGAAATTATTAAAATGGTTATTTTTATTTAAAATATTCATGATATGTAGAGATTATTGTCATGAAAATTTATTATATCGATTTATAAATAATACATATAATTGCACATATTATATTTTATTTATGTATAAAAGTAATCAATAATCCTTGCAAAATATATCGAGAAATTAGTCTATTGTCATTCATATTAAAATATAGAATTATTATGTATTTTATATCTACTAAAATTAATCTATTTATAAATGTTTTAAAAACAAATAAAATTAAAGTACATAAGGTATATATAAATATTGTGATTATTTTGAATTGTTAAACGATTTTCAAAGAATGTACTATTATTTTATGGGTACAAAAAGTTCATTTATTCAATATTTTATACTACATCTATAGTACAGTACACTGTACTGAGTACAGTATTATAAAGTTTATATAATTTTTATGATATTCTTAAGCGCCGACAGTTTGTATAAAAATTTCTGGACATTTTCATTAAATATCTACATACAGTACACATAAAATATTCATAACCACATGATTTGCTAAAGGATTTTAACCAATAATTTAAAAATGTAAATATTTTTGGTAGATTGCAATTATGTTCTAGATAATTTTATCATTTTTAGTGAAGCATCTCCAAAATTTAATTTAAAATTGAGCTTTACTTTAATTTTTCAAAATGTGAGCATTTTTGAAAATCCAGAATATTTAAGACAAAATAAGAATTTAATTTTATAACTACAGTAACCTTTTGAATACTTTATGCAAAATAATCAAACATTTTACTAATGAGTGGAGTAGTATTGCTTGACAACAGATTTTCTGAAATCATTTTCATATACAATACTGTATTATTCATTGAAACATATTCTAGACATTGAATACATTTGAATACAAGTATCAAATGATTTACAGTAATATGAGTATTTATATTGTGATAGCATTAAAATCATACTACTATACTAGATTAATTATCAGGACTTTCAAAATACTGTACTGTGTTTTTAACATACAAATTAATAAACTATTTTTACTTTGTAAGAATTAAAAAGTCACTAATCAGTCACAAATTTGCTTTAAACATAAATACAGTATATTTAAAATAGTTATGAACTCTTAACTACCTTGATCATATGATTGATTGGTAATTAACATTCCTATGAATGCAAACAATATTATTATCTATTTATTTTATTATTATCTAGTAAAATTTATCTACGAATAAAATACTTTATAATGAAGTAATACAATAATGCAATAATTTCTATGCTATTAGTAATAACTGATATAATAATAGCAATTAGTTTCAGTTATTAATAATAACTATATATTTATAGAAATTATATGAAGTTATGATTAATAAATGATGAATTGATTACAAAATGACCACAAAATCAATGCACAATTGCAATATTATATGAAAAAAGTGAAATATAGTGAAACCAAAACCAAAACTATAAAAAAATTAAAATTAAAGTTAAAATTAATTTTCAATTTTCTTCACCCAATGAGTGAACACTTGTGGCGAAAGTGTCCACAAAATCGCATTCACTGTACAAATGGTGTTGTCTTTCGCTTCAGACAAACATTTTGGTCACAAAACTGATTGCAATTCATTTGACACTCATTCACAACACATTAACCACTCGTCGCACGGCTTAACACAACAGTCAGTGGTGTGACTGAAATGCACGCAAACTTCGCGACCATTATCTCACACCCAGTGACCACTTATTTGATCCGCGATTGTCATTAACGGGTGAGCGATGGCCAGTCAGTCAACGGACACTACCGTCCCATTGGGTATCTTCTGGGACATCGAGAGCTGTGCCATTCCTCTGACCAAATCGGCGTCAGGTGTGGCCAATGGGATCCGCGACTTCATCCAAGACCGACATCCGGAGTGCGGTTACGCCAAAGAGTTCTTCTGTTGCGGCGACTCTAAGAAGTTC